ATTGAAATAACTTTTTTCCTAACCCAGAACAAAAACTGACAAAAACCCAAAACAGAAATCAATGCTTGAATAATACAATTTTAAAAACGTTGACTGTATAAACCGCTATGGTAAAAACATAAAAGTCGATAATTTGTCACTGTTTAAAATTTTTATTTAACCTTTTTTGTGGGGATTTTATAGTTGGGGGATCTTCTTTTAAGGCGACCCAGGGCAGCAATAAACGGTCTACACCTAAATCCGACTCCAAACAAAAAACAAAACTGGTTTGATGAATACAAAATTTTGTTTACAGAGCAACGATTGTAAGAAATAATAAAAACACAGCGGCTTACATTAAAGCAGATAAGTTGGATTAATGTCAAATTTTTTCTTTCCATTTTTTTCATGTTTACACGAGGTTGCATTATAAAATATCCTAATTCTTCATTTGGCCCGTCTTCGTTCATGCTTTTTTCTCTTGCTGATGTTTCTATGTTGAAGTAGTTTTTTGTTGTCGTTATTTGGTTGATGTCATTTAGTTATTGTAGTATTGTTATTGTGAGTTACTGTGTGTGTGTGTTTGTTTGTGTGTGGATTTGAGTTTGTGTGTGTGTTGATTTTTTTACGTTAATTTTTTTGTGTAGTTAGATGATTTGCTTATGACCTTTAAAAAAATCAATTTGTTTTCTTTATTAGGTTCAATTGATTAAAAATTATTGAAAAAAAATCTTGAAAATAGTAAATAATGAGAGGTAACTTCAAATTTTCCAACATCTCTTTGAATTTTTGGCAATTATTTGAAAATTATTCTAATTAAAAAACCTTCTACAAATTTATAAAAAAAAATTAGGCGAATGGTAAAAGTGAACCATTTTTGAAAAAAAGAATTTCCATTGTGTTGATGTAGTCTCAAAACCAAAAATCCTTAACGTAATCAGCAACATGTTGGACGGGTGTTTTAAATGAAAACGGGCAATTTATGATTTAAAGGACTAAAATTAACTACAAATGTTAAAAACTTGTTGAATTTACAATTTGATCACTACTAACATAGTAACATAATTTTTACTTATATTACTAATTTTCTTCTGATTAGTTGTTTTTTGAAACTGTCGTAATTATAATATAACATAATAACATAATTTTTACTTATATTACTAATTTTCTTTCGATTAGTTATTTTCTAAAACTGTTGTAATTATTAACACAATAGTTAGTTAAAATCATCGTTCATGGTGTATTTTTTTAGCGAACTTCGGACAAACGAACGAACAAGAGGGAAAGAACGAAAGTATGCCACTTTTAATTTTTGGCGGATAGACGCAATGCCTAATTGTGCATTGAAATAAAATAAAATTAAATGTCATCATCCTCCATTTGTTACCTCTCTATTCCTTTCTCTCTCTCTCTCTCTCTCTCTCTCTCTCTCTCTCTTTCTCTCTCTCTCTCTCTCTATCTATCTATCTATCTCTCTCCTTTGTATGTATATATACATATGTGTGTGTTTGTATGTGCGTGTTTGTGTGTCAAAAGATGTATGCGTAAAAGTATGTTTGCATATATGTACGTGTATACGTGCATGCATGTTTGTTGCATGCAAGTGTGAGCGCGTATGCATCATAAAGTACTTTTTCGAAATGGCGTCAAAAAATGCAACAGCATATGGCGCTGAATATTAAAGTGAAATAAAAAAAATGCACTTTTCAGTTTGTTGTTAGCTTAGTAACTTTTTTTGTGCCTTACATTACTTTCGTGTTGATGTATTTAACAAGTGTACACGGGTTATTGTCATGTAGTATTGACATTAGACTGAGGAAGTATACAAAAAAATGTATAAAAAGTCAACGTACGAACGTACGCACATACATACATACATACATACATACATACATACATACATACATACATACATACATACATACATATATACATACATACATACATACATACATACATACATACATACATACATACATACATACATACATACATACATACATACATACATGCATGGCAATGAATATAAGCGCGTAAAGTATTTGACATAATTGCATAAGAAGTGTTCTTCGGGCCGCCTCTCTTCATTCTTCCATGTGTTCATTGAAATTTATTTGCTTGGTCGTTTAAACGCTTCAAAATTTTAGTAGAAAAATGTGTGTGTGTAAATAAATGTGTATGTTTTTGCTTTTTTTTACTTTGTTTTACTCCCTTATTCCTATGTCCTTTCTTTGTTATTTTTTCACAAATTGGTGTTGACATTTGCAAATTTACGACCCAATAATATGTACTGTACATATCTGGTATTTAGGCAGAAAAAAGTTAAAATTTAGAAAAACAACTCGCTAGTAAAAAACGTGTTGTAAGTTTTTCAAATAAGGGCATATAACATACACAAACCCATTAATAAATACACCAACACATTCACGCATGTTCAATCCGTTAGACGTGCACATAAAACACAAGAGCACAGATAAAATAAACAGAAACACACATACACACACACACACACAAACACAGGAACAGGTTGATGAACGCGAACGGAAATACGTATAAAAAAAATAATTAGTTAATATCATCTATATTAGCTATTAATTATATTATATATATATATATATATATATATTTATAATTATATGATAATTAATTAATACATGCATACACGCACACACACATACCAACACACATATAAAAACATATTTTTAAAATAGGTAATTTATTTGGCGAATGCCAGATTTGCACACATCATTATGGCCATTATTATGTAAATACGTTCTTTGTACACATACATATACATATACACACATACACATATATACATACAAACATACTTACGCACGCATACACACGCACATACGCACACATATTTTTCATGTGTCATTTGTCACACATTATAGCCATTCATTAACAAATTTTTTAATACTCACACATACACACATAACTCATTATTGTCACTTTTCAACAAACGCTTTCACTCTAAAGAAGCTCGATAGTCTAATGGTCAGTATTTCTGGCATCGATGTTGCAGTAACCGGGTACGATTGCAAAGAAATCCCAACCTATAACATTGAATGTATGTGATGTGTTGTGTGTGTGTTAATGTTGATACATCTGGAAAATCCTAAAAGGAAAAACTCAAAAAATTAATACATTGGTAGAGAGTTTTACTGAAATTTAAAAAAAAGTTTAAACAAAACATTAACGCACCGGAGTTAATTGTCACGGGAGGTTTTTATACTGAGAGGTTCTTCTGACATCTGCAAATTTTCAGAAATTATTGTTTTGAAAGAATTTTTTAAAAGTCTTTTTTATTATTTGTTTAAATGATTTTTTTCAAAATTTAATATTTTTTTGACAAATTTCATCAAATTAAATTAAATAAATATAAGCTTATTTATTAAGCAAATTAAATATAACTTGAAAATATAAGCTGTTATATTTTTATAAACATTTAGAAAAAAAATTTTTTTGATTGACGAAAACATACCAAAAGTTTTAGTATTACTACTACTACTTCTTGCTGCTGCTAATACTACTACTGCTACTATTATTAAACATTAAACACATGATTTGGTATATTGCAGTAATATAACAGTTACATTTTAAAAACGCACGCACACACAAACACAACACACACACACAACACACACACATGCATACACACGCACACGCATACACACACACACATATATATAATAGCATTTATAATATATTAATTACAAGCAAAATTTCTGACAAAATGACCACATACATACAAACATACTTCGTGGTCAGCTGGTCATCCTTTGCAATTATAAACAACGATGGGTCCGGATGTTAGGAGATTGTTTTTTCTGTTGTGCTGTTTTGTTGTTCGTGCTTCTTGAAGATTTATTCACTTTTCTGTTTTTATTCTTTTATTGTTAATGTTTTTTGTTTATTTATAGTTACACACACGAATTTGGCATTGATAAAGTGAAAGAAATTTTGAATGAGATTTATAACAGAGGCAAAATTCTTGAAGATCTATCCAAGTCAATATTTATTGCATTACCTAAAAACCTAATGCAACTGAATGTAAATTAAACTACATCGAACAATCAGTTTGATGAGTCATCTTACAAAACTTCTTTTGAGAATTCTGACGATGAGGACACGAAGCAGAATCAGATCTGAAATTTCAAATGTCCAATGTGGTTTTGTCGATGATTGTGGCACAAGAAACGCTATCCTTATGCTACGAATGATCAGCGAACGAGCGATTAAAATGAAGAAAGACTCGTTTATACGTTTTGTCGATTACTTCAAAGCTTTTGATAGCGTGAAACACGTGGAGCTTATAATAATGTTGAAAAATTTGTACATTGATGGAAAAGACAAGAGAGTTATCAAAAACATCTATTGGGATCACCAAAGAGCAGTGGTGAAAGTTGGTAACCAGATGACTAGTTTTGTCGAAATAAAGAAAAGAAAGATAGGTGTTAGACAAAGCTGTGTACAATCTTTATAGTGAGATCATCGTGAGAAACATGGAATATCTACCTGGAATACCACCTATTGGAGGCGTAAATTTAAACAATGTAAGATATGCTGATGATGCAACTCTTATTGCAGATTCAATGGAAAAACTGGTTTTTAAAAATGAAAGGAAAGGCTTGCAAATCTTGCAAATTAACATCAACAAAACAGAGAGCATGGTTGTAAAAATGATATGGATATCAAAAGAAGGATAGCTATAGCGAAAGATGCATATTCTAAAATGAAAACATCCTCACCAACAGTAAAATCAGAATATCAACAAAATTAAAACTGTTAGGGTGTTACATTTTTCCCGTGCTAACTTACGGTTCTGAATTCTGGACAATTTCTAAAGATATTGAAAAAAGAGTAACGCTGCTGAAATGCGGTTTTGGAGAAAAATTATGAAAATTAGTTGGACCTTCCTTTCTTCGAATGAGGATGTTTTAAAACAGTCCGGTTATGAAAAGAGGAAATTACTACAGATAATCCGACGGGGGCAGTTGAAATTTTTTGGTCACATCATGCGGAAGGAAAGAATGGAAAATCTAACAACTACTGGAAAGATTGCAGGGAAAAGAGACCGCGGTCAACAACGAATAACATTCGTGAAGTCCTTGTGTCACTTGTTGAATATCACCACATTTCAACTACTACAAAGTGTTGAAGATCGGGTTTTGTGGAGGTCGATGGTCGCCAATGTCCTGAAAGGATAAGGCACGAGAAGGAAAGAAAGAAAGAACACACACGCACACACACACACATTCATACATGCAAACAAACACACATCCACACATATTCATGATAGAAATAATAATGATAGTATTAGCAGCAACGGCAGCAGCAGCAACAGTAGTAGTAGTAGTAGTAGTAGTAGTAGTAGTAGTAGTAGTAGTAGTAGTAGTAGTAGTTGTTGTTGTTGTTGTTGTAGCACCACCATCATTGTTTATATATCCGCCAAAAAACAAGTGTTTTAATCATTACATTATTATTCAATTCATAAATAAACAAATAGAATGTATAAATGATGTCATAATCTGGACGACAAGGTTTCATTTGTTGGTTTCATTTTAATAAACTGACACTTGCCAAAACCCCGGTACATAATTTAATTCAATTTTTAGCTATACGTACGTCAGCACAGTTTTATTAACAGTTAAAAACAAATTTTTTGTAAAAAATTTTTAATAAATAATTTTTATTACACACGCTGCAGAGTTCAAAAGGACGTGTGTTTCAAATCTTATTAAACATTTTTAAAAGAAAAAAAATTAGCAAATATATACGACGCAAATCTGACTTAATATACCTCAAGTGAATTTACAACAAATTTTTTTGTTAAATCAAAAATATTTAATAACGAAAAAGATGAAAAAATGTTTAAATAAACAGCGAAAACCAGATCTACGTATCTACAAATATAAAATACCCCGTCACATAAATTATAAAAGAGTAAAACTCCCAAAAAAAATTTCTTACTGAAAATATAAACAATTTAACAACAGAAATGAATGTAACATTTCAACAACTTTCTTCAACTAAACATCAAACAACAACAAAGACAGTAGAAACGTGATTGAATGATTTTATAAATCTTAAAAGTTGACAATCTCGAATCATCAAATCGACAGACCATTAGATCTAAAAAATTTGTAAAATAGTAATATCAAGAATCATATTTGAATTGAAGAAATCAAACAACTAACTAATTACCATACATAACACTAAAAAACACCAACTATATAACGATACTAACCCAGACTAACTTGCCAAAACGAAGAAAACATATGTGTGTGTGTGTGTGTGTGTGTGTGGTGTATGTGTGTGTATGCGTGCGTGTGTGTCTATCTAAAGGTGCGTGTGTAATATCTGCGAAGACCTTAGTTCTTTTTAGAAATTTCAAACAAGACAAGTTTTACGTACGAAAAACAAATTTAACTTTTTTAAATTTTAAAACAAACAGACAACCATTTATATTCATTGTTAGTGTGTCATTTAAATTAAATTCTTCGCTCATTCATTATTCTCTTCTTCTATCTTTCAAACTATTTCATTTATTTTTTTTGTACTTTTATTATTTTTTTTTAAATATTTTCATTATAAATTTGTTTTATAGTTAATTTTTTTACTTTTCACGATTGTAAAATTGTTTCGCTCTTAAATTTTCAAAACCTTTTATTTCCGAAACCCTTCTTTTTATTTCTCAAATTTTTCTTCTTTTTATTTTAGTTTTTTTTTTTTATAATCTACACGTTAAAATTTGTAAAAATTATTTTAGTTTATATAAAATTTATAGAAAAAATTTGAAATTTTGCAAAGAAAATGAGAGATTTGAGGTTGCCAGTGCTTCAACCAGCATACCATTCATTCTCTTAGCTTTGTTGAAGGTGGTTTCAAAACGAGTACGTCGCAATAAAACTAACATTAATGAAAGATGCACTCGTAGTAGTTGTGCAAATGGCAATCACATCCTAACAACAACAACAACAACAAAAAAAACAACAACAACAGCAGCAGCAACAACAACAACAACCACAGCAAATACAATTACAATTTCACAATGGTATCAACCTATATGGCAGTCACACTGATGTAATAATTACAGCAGCAACAACAACAACAGCAGTAGCAGCAGCTGCAAAACATTAGCGCCAACAACAACAAAACAACAGCAAGGCAAAAATCACAACACAATGACAGGTTTTTCTCCCGGCAATAACTCACCACAGAAGCAAAAATACACCGTCAATACATTCAATAAATCGCAATAAATCATCATTAGCAGTCGAGCCGGTGCAAGTGAAGCACGGCTACGAAGATTGTTGATAACGTTATTAGTATTTTACTCCCGCTACTACCTCGTTACTGAAGTTACTGAGTAGCCAGTTGGAGGTGGGGAATGGGCTATATTTGTTAGGTTCAAAGTTGAAGTTGATACTGTTGTGTAGAGAAAGGTATTGTAAAATAAACTGCCGATGACGTTTTACAATTTTATGCTTTTTTGTTATTTTTCTTCTGTTGGTATTTTAATACTAGTAGAGGTACAGGCCTTTGCATACAACTTATGTTGTTGGTTTAAAACAGAGGCATTCAAATGAAATCTCAGGGCCGCAATTAATGAATAGGCAGTTGCAATCAAATTAATTAAGGGGTTGCCATTTTTTTTCATGCCGGTGGTGGCAGAAGTAGCTGTGGCAAAAAGTAGTAGTAGTTGTTGTAAAAAGTAGTAGTAGTTGTTGTAAAAAGGAGTAGTTGTTGTAAAAATTAGTAGTTGTGGTAAAAAGTAAAAGTGGTAGTTGTAATAAGAAGTAGTAGTTGTAAAAGTAGTTTTAGTTGTAGTAATAATAGAAATAGTGGTTAAAGATTTAGTTGTTACAATAATGAGAATTCAAACTAAGAATGATTAACATTAGCAGAACAGTAAATGTTACTCAATTTTCTTATACTACAAATGATTACTTCATTACTTGAATAGCAACAAAAGCATCAGTGCAGATTGAGATGTAGTAGTACCCACTGACTACTACTAATTCTCAAACATTCATCTATTACTATTTAATTGTTTGTTTGTTCGTTCGTTCGTTTGTTTGTTTATTAATTCATTTGTTCGTTCATTCATTCGTTCATTCATTCGTTCGTTCGTTTGTTCATTCATTCGTTCGTTCATTAATTAATTAATTACTTAATTCATTCATTCATTCATTCATTCGTTCGTTCGTTCGTTCGTTCATTCATTCATTCATTCATCCATCCATTCATTTACAAATTATATACAATGGCCATTGCACGAACACACATGTATACTGTTTGCGTCTTCGAGTGTAAGGAGCGCAATTCATTTCACTTAAGTTCTTGCACTTATGACAGTTGCATTATCAGTGCATTAAATTTAGTCATCACCATCGTCGTCATCATCATCGTTATAATCTTCGTCGTCGTCATCACACTTTTTCCTTTTTTTAATATTGCTCTATCATCATTTCGTAACTTTTTTTGCTTTTATTAGGTTCATAATCCATATTTCGGATTTTAAATCATATTGTTGTAACCCGTGACCTCGTAACTGCCGACACTGATGTTATAACTTCAGAGATCTCTATATTTCCAACACCGTGTTTTAGCTTCCAACGATCGTCAAGTGTTCGTCATTCCGTAGATTCAAGATTTTCGATAGATGAACACAACTGATTCAAAGGCAAACTTTGTTGGATGTTTATTTGAATGCCAACAGTAATAGTAACAATAAACTAATCCAAGTAACTACATAAATTACATTTACGAATCCGCTTTCTCTGCTGGAAATCTTTATGCTACTGGGAAACCTGACAGTAAACCTGACTACGAAGGTGTGTATATACATATAGGCCGATTTTACAACAAAAAGATTACAAATATAGCGAAGATACCAATAATTACGATAACAAATATTGTAGCGCACTTTGATCATTCTAGTGGTTATAACAATATTATCAAATTTTGAAATTGATAAAAATGAAAAAGTAAAAAACAAAAAACGCGAAAACTTAATGAAGCGCTTAATTTTCGCGGAAAAACATTTAGCACCCTTTTTGAAATTCAACAAGAGGCACCATACCATTCAAATTTTAACTGCTCTCAACGCAGAGCCGGTTAGACAATTGAAGTTTTTTTTATATGGATGAATTTTTGTTGTTGAGTGTGCAAGTTTTTTGCGTCTGTCAGAGTACGTTCATTGTTATTTGTTTGTATTGTTTCTTATGTTCGTTTGTTTGTCTGTCTGTTTATTTGTGTGTTTGTCTGTCCTTTTAAATATTCATTTTTTTAATTTTGTTTTCAGAATGTCAGATTGTTTTATATTTTAAAGTAAAAAAACGCGGCGGGTTTCTCGAAATAATAATAATGATAATTAATAATTGGAAAATTAATCTTGGTAAAAAGTTGTTAATATTAAACACTATATTTAAAAAAATTTAAACTATACAAAATGTTACAAAAACTTTACAAAACAACTTTAAACGACATCAGTAAACAAACAACTCAACCTCTTAAACATGTTGTTTCACTCACAGAATACAAACATTCTAACTAATTCTACAATCTACAAACATTATTCTCAATACGCAACTTAATAAATTTATTTATAAACTGGAAAATTAGTAGCTTATAGTTTACTTTCCATGGCTAAATGCATTTTTATAATTGGATGTAAGGAGCTTATTGTCGCTCAATGAAGAAAGAGAAAAAATTGTTGGTACTTAGATGTTGTTAATTATTAAAATAATTCTTTAGAAGTGTTATAAAGTTATTTGTTTGTGTGTATATATATATATATATATATATGTGTGTGTGTGTGTGTGTGTGTGTGTGTGTGTGAAAACGTGTGTATAAATATGTGTATATGTGCACATATGTGCATATTTGTACGTGTTTATATATATATATATATATATATATATATATATATATATGTGTGTGTGTGTGTGTGTGTGTGTGTATTTGTCTATATATTTATGTGTGTGTGTGTGAATTTGTGTTGAGATGTATACATAATTTAATAAACAATTCATCAAATAACGTTAAAAATATTAACAACGCAACAACCACAACAACAGCAACAGCAACAACATCAACAACAAACAAACAAAAATCAATATATACATCATACTTTTATTTTCACATTAATAACAATATTATTTTTTTTCTCAATAATTATAAAATATCGTGAAAATTAATCAGACGAAACATTCAATTACTTAGGAGCGTATCTACCATTACGTAGGACGGGCGCCTTCATTGCAAGAAAATGATTTACAGCGAATCCAGTCAGCCAATGATAAATATACATACAGCGCGTCAAACCCACGCAAATTGGGTTAGACGAAGATATCATCAGAGAGAGAGAGAGAGAGAGAGAGAGAGGATAGAAAAACCGTTTCTTCTTACGTACATAGTAGCGATTTTATTCGAGTTTCTTATCTTTTTCTCCGTTATTTTGTTTTAATAGGCCGTTATGAGCGCAAATGCGAGATACAGCTATGCTAATGCTAGCACTTATTTCGGATAGTTTGAATAGGTTTTGTAGAAGATTTTGTCGGTGTTGTCGATGGTGTTGTTGTTAGTGTAGATTCCTTTGTTTTTGTAGAGGATGTTGTTTTGTTGATGTTGTTGTTGTTATTGTGATTGATTGATTGTTGTTGTTGCTGTTACTGAGATTGATTGATTGCTGTTGTTGTTATTACTAAGATTGTTGTTGTTGTTGTTATTGAAATTGTTGTTGATGATGTTTTTGAGATTGCTGATGTTGTTATTGATGTAGTTGATGTTATTTTTTATTATTCTGTGAGTGTAGGTACGTTACTTAATATTATAATTGTTGATGTCTATATTGTTAATGTTATTTTTTAAACAGTTTGTGTCACTTCAAATGTTTTTGTTGTTTATGGTGATATTAATATTTTTTAAATCCTCTAATTACTATATAACCGTAATAGATGAATGATTAAAAGCGCTTGATCTCTGTTTAGCAGTGACCTGGTTTGAATGCAAAGAGTTCCCCATCAATCATATGCATTACGGATGACGCGTGGTTTTCACACTACGTCAATAATTTTTTGATTATTTTGATTATTATTTTAATTTTAATTTTTTCAATGTTGATTATAATTTTTAATTTGTTTTATTTACATTATTATTTGTTTGTATTATTGTTATTTGTATTAGTATTTTCAGTTATAATGATAGTATTATTGTTGTTATTGTTATTCTGTTATGTGTCAATAATAACGAAATAAAGATACGCTACCCTCATTCCATTCTGTGTAGATAGGTTTTGTGCTATCTGTCAATCAATCACTTTCTTCTTGACGGTCTTATAATGTTGTACCATACTTTTTCAGCATTGTCGTCGTCATCATCATCTTCCTTCATCATTGTATGCAACATCATCATCAGCATCATCATCGTCATATTCATCATCATCAGCATTATCATCGTCATATTCATCATCATTGTCATTGCTAATGTCATCATCAACATCATTGTCACAAAGTTGTTGTCATCTTAATCACATTAATCATTATGTGTGTGTGTGAATGTGTATGTGTTTGTGGTGTGTGTGTCTGTGTGTGTGTGTGTCTGCATAATCAACGTAATAAATTCGCATCGAACGAACATTTCACAACAAAATTAACAAACATTATATCACGTTTTAGCACCTTAAAACCAAATTTTCAAAAAAAATAACAAAAATTTTTACTAGCCAAATTGCACATAACACATTTTGATACAATCCTTTTGAAGTTTTTTTTTAGAGATTTTTATATTTCCTGTTAGAAAAAAGAGGCTTGTGTCTGTCCAATCTCAAAATGACAATCATGGTTGTTGCTGTCTCTCTTTGCCTAATTATTAGACAAAAAATGGTCTAACATAGTCCATGCAAATCATTTTATAACGTAATTTATATTCTATTTCAATTATAGTAAACTCAATTAGTTCGATCCAGTTTTGTTTTTTCGATATTTTTTAGTCTATTTCTTTACAGTTATATTTTTTGTACTTTTGGTTTTACTATTTAGGTATTTTAAAAAACAAAAACTCAAAAATACTTAAACAACAAAGAACACTCGGGCATCCCAAATATTCAATTTCACAAAAATGCTTCTTACCACACAAGAATTCAGTATCAAGAAATATTTAAACAACAAAACCGTCTAAGTACTCAAATGTAACCAAATACATCAAAAATACCAAAATACCCATAATTTTAGCAATTGGTGAACTTAAATTTTATTTTTTCAGTTTCGTATCTCTTAGCAAACATGTAGCGACGTGTTGAATTACTACAACTTCGAGATTACACACTGATCTCGTCAGAAGAGATTTATCTCGTGGTTAATGCTTCTGCAAGAATGATGAATTTTTTAATTTGGAAAACATAATAACGTTGATTATGCAGACACACACATACACACAGACACTCACACACACACTCACACACACTCACATACACATACATACACACACACACACAGACACACATACGTATTTACAAGTAATATCCCATGAATCATTCCTCGTTCATCATTGTATCCCCACGGTTTAATGACAATTTTCCCGATATGTGGTTTGTTTCAATATAACACCAGCAGAAAAGAAATAAATACAAGCAGTATTAACGATAAAAAAGATTGTGACAATAATAATTCTGAGATAAATTTGAACGTGTGTGTGAGTAAGTGTGTGTAAGAGAGAGAGAGAGTTTGTGTGCGTGTTTGTGTGTGTATGTGTGTGTGTGGTTTGTGTATGTGTGTGTGTGTCTGTATAATCAACAGTTCTATCAACATTGTGTAAGGGTGTGCTGTATAATCAACATTTCTCGTAACATTAAAACCATCAATAAACGCTTGAAAATTTTAATCCCAGTAGCTGTTGTAGAAGCAATAGCAATAGTTCCATTATAATTATTATTAGTAGTAGTTGTAGTAAAAGCAGCAGTTGTTGTAGTATTAGTAGAAATAGTAGTAGTAGTAATTATTAATTTTTTAAAATTTTGAATAACGATAAACTGTTTTTTAAAGTGTAGGTACGTAGATATTGATGATTTTGTTTTTACGAATACATAAATAAAAATAAAAAATAAAATAGCTGAAGAAAGAAATGTTAGGTGTACAGTACACAGTACAAATACATTCATTGAAAAGTAGGTTCAATGGTTCAATGCAATGGTTTTTAATGTACACATATGAAATGTTATCAGATGTTTCAAGTCTTACGTGATTTGAGTTTGAATTTTTTTTTCATTTTTGAATTAGAAGTTTCAAATGAATAACAAAATTTGTTATAACTTTTTAAAAGAGATGAAATTTTCTATTAACTTTATAATAGTTTTGAAATCTGTAAATTTAATAAAGTAATACAATCACACATGCAAACAAAAACATACGAAAAACACAACACACACACGCAAACACACACGGAAACACACACACAAACACACAGGCGGCAAATTGAATATAGATTTTTCCTCCACTCTATACTTTATTACCTTGGATAGTCAGCTCATAAACCAATACTACTCTGATTTTTTCTTGCAATAGCACTCCTACTTTGATATCATAAGCAGAAGAGATATGTGCCAGTAAAAAAATGTGATAGCTATCATCATTCAAACGCTAGCATTCATTACTTATATTGCAGGCAATATTTTCTGGTTTCTGTCAATGTTTATGATTTTGGTGTCGATACTATTTTTCGTTTTTGTTTTGTTTGATTTTGTTATAGCTCTTAAACTTATTATTGTATTAAACAAGTGTTTGTGGACTTCTCATGTGTTTTATATCAAACTATTATTATTATTATTATTCTTCATATCATCTTCATCATCATCATCATAAAAGACAACGCCAACACCGATTACAAAGGTGACGACGATGATGAAAGTGATAATGATAAAGATGAGATGCGATGAGAACGATGATGAAGTCGGTGATGACGTTTGCTGCTGATGCTGCTGCTGCTGATGATGATGACGACGACTATGCTGATAACGACAATGATAACAGAGATATAGGAGATTAAGATGATGGCGACGAAACTTGATCTTGAGATTCGACTGAATGACGCAATATTGAGGAGAAAACATCAAAAGATGGATTGGTAGATAACTTGAGGAAAATAGAATAATTGGAAAATAATAATAACAATAACAAAAGCAACATAAATGAGGGCATTTTTGAGAATGAATGCAAACATCTTTGTACTGCTATTATTTCCATTCTTATGTGAATATTATTTCATTATTACCGCGATATTATATCATTCTTGTAGAAGAAAGATAGATATATGTGATAAAGTCGAACTTTTTTTATTTAACTAAAGACACTAATGTATAAAATTTTATTTAATCATGTTCCCATATTTATCGCGCAATACAAATACCTAAAAGATAAGTTACAAATGACTTTTTTAAAAATTTACGCACATTTTGAACAGATAAAAAATTTGGATATTGCTGAATAGAACAACAAAATAGGCAATGAAAGCCAAACGAAGGCAAGTCGTTATTTAAAAATTTCTCATTATTTCTCAAATGCAAGTATAGCTTCTTACATGAGATTTTCTACATATTAGCAATTGAATTTTTTCGTTCAGCTAAAATCCGCTTATCTACTAAAACGACGAATCACGACAAAGTCCAAACGACACACACCACTTAACCACAAGACACACGCCACACACACCACATACAACTACACACAACTGCACACACTTCACGGCTACACGACACAACGGCTCCAGACACTACAGGACATAAACGAAACTACAAGACGACACTAGACGTCTTACGACACCAGACGCCACAAAACACTAGCCCAACACCACAAGATAAACCATAAAACCAACAAAACCCTTCACGACGCTAAAAACACGACACGACGAAAAAGGACGCAAACACACAAAACCAAACCCAACAATAAAATTTAATTCCAGCAACTGTAACAATATGAAATAATGTTGAAATATAATACATAACAAATTGTAAATAACAAAATATAGCAATTAATAAATAACAATAATAATATCAATAAATAAGAATAATAATTAAAAAATATTAATAATAATACGCAGTACCTATACAATAGGTATTCAGCGAGCCAGAGATAATACATTGGAGCATTATCGCAGCCTGTTGTGCGCCATACAACATGGATTAGAGATGGAATTATTTACAGGTCGTCATCATCATCTCTTCTTTATGAGGAAAGCAAGCACCACATACACCACTCACACACATACACACACACACACTTACATCACATACACACACACGCATCCATCACATACGCACACACATTCATCACATACACACACACATTCATCACATACACACACACATACATCACATACACACACACATTCATCACATACACACACACTCATCACACATATACACAACAGAGACAAATAACAGAAAGACACACACACACACACATACACACACAATTTTATATAAATACACACACACACAAACGAATACACAGAAAGAGTGAAAAAAGTGAGAGGAAGAGAGAGAGAGAGAGAGAGAGAGAGAGAGAGATAAAAGGGAGTGATAATAAGAAAACGAAAGACATACAACCCTTATAAATATTTACAGGATTCTACATTTGGTCGTTCTGCTCTATTATTTTTATTTATTATTATTATTATTATAATACATATTATTATTATTATTATTATTATTATTATTATTATTATTATTATTATTATTATAACTATTATGAGTTATTTACTATTACATTTTTTTTATTGTTGTAATTTTCGGATAATCACCCAATGGAAATTTTCCTTATTACGACCAACCAACGGCTGAATTTATCTTCGTAATTACATTCAAACTTGAAATGGAATTATTATTATTATTATTATTATTATTTGTATTAACATACGTAAATTATTATTTTTCTTGTTGTCATGGTTACCGTTTTGACGACGAAAATTATGACCAACGGCCAGGTTTACCCGTATTATTAAAGAATAAATAATTTTTCATATTATTAAATTTATTATTATTATTGTTGTTGTTATTATTATTCTTTTTATTATTTTTTTGAAATATAATTTTACGATTTCGCCGGTGCAGTAGCCACTCAGGCGTCAGGTTTGCAGTGAATAAAATTTGCACGGCGAGATGGCATAGTTGCAAAGTTACCAGGTTCGAATACAAAGAAACTCTTTGATGAAATGTTTTTTCCAAGATGGATAGATAGATTGTTTGTGATAAGTTTAATACAAATCGCCACATAAACTATACTACAACTTCAATTTGTAATTAAGAAAATCGTTCTATCAATCTGTGCTGTATATACAAACTGCTCTAACTCTCTTCAATCTACTTTATTCCATTACAATAAAAGTGAAATTTTTTTTAATCCTGACCGTATTGTCTTTAAAATATTTTGTAATTATTTGATACTTAGATACCAATAGCTGAGTTTTGTATTTAAATCATTTTTATATACTGAATTTTGACCATGAGTTTGCAATTTATTTAAGAAATGTATTTTAGTTTAAATCATATTTATATATTGAATTTTTACCAAGAATTTGCAATGTATTTAAATAATTTGAGTGTTCTAACATCACTGCTAAAACCTTACTTTAGCATTTCCTTGTCTAGTATAAAATTATTTTTAAAAATAAATTAGAAACTTCTAACAAAATGAAAAATAAAAAAATAAAAAGTTTATGTGCAAAAAGTTTATTGCTACAAAAAACGAATTGTACTGAACGTCTGGTTTGTTGTTTTTTTTTGATGAGTTCATGGATTTGACCTCAAAAAGAAAAACATTTTATGGGCTTTGGTTCAATTAGCTCTATTCTTTTCTTTCTCTTTCTGTTCTATGTTTTGTCATAAGTTTGGAGTTTTGATTGTTTTTCTATCGTTTTTTTTCATTATTATTTTTCTTTTTTTTCATTTTTTTTCATTTTTGAAAAAAGTTCAAACGACGCTTTTTTTGATGGTAAGCATGTTGAGAAACATTTAGCTGGTATATGTTCAAATGATGCATAATCAGATGATACATTTTAAAATGATACATAATCAGAAGATACATAATCAGATGATAGATATTTAGATGCTACATAATGAGATGACATGTTCAGATGACAGATATTTAGATGATACATGTTTAGATACTTTAGAGTTTTAACTGTTTGTTTAAGTTGTTAATTTTTTTGCAATTTTTAAAATATTTTTTCTATTTTATATACTGCTATACTGCTCGCTCTTCACCATCCTACGACGGTTACTGAACGAAGAACATAGTTTAATCTTGGGGAAATTCTTTCTGTATCTGTAAACTCGCTTGCTCAACGTTAAAAAACTTGATATTGTTCATGTATATGAAATAATGATAAATGTCTTTAATTGGCAACTCACGTGTGTTGAGTTAGTGGTTAAAATGTTATAAAGTTGAATGATAGAAATCGAACGAGAAACGATTGACCCGTTGATGTTAATAATAATTTTTTGTTGTTTAATATTATAACAAAACTTAAATTGTAAAATTGATTAACGCTTATAAAAATAATGTAAAAATTGTCAAAGAGAGTGTTCAAATGTGTTAGTGTTAAAGTGCGTTGAGTAAGTCTCAAATAGTGTTTTAGAGGTAACTAAGCTAACTCCCTTTAACTTACGTGCTCGCATATTATATATCAGGAGACCTTGCTCCCAAGAGCTTTCTAACTAGTCTGCTCCTACTGTATGTCACCTCATTATTATTATACAAAGTATTTTATGCTCTGATTAATTATACGTTATATTATCTTATATTAAGCTGCTTTATGTCTGTAAATTTGCTGTCTCGTCGTGAAATACTTTTATAACTTAACTATCATTATAATTACTTACTTCAACACATATCTTTATATATAACAACCTATATTTACTTATACCTCCTAACTTAAATTACCATCTACATAATAATATTTTTGTCAACTACCGTATTTGAATCTCCAATATAAATGTTTTTCTCATTCATAGACTTGGTTGTTTTTTCTTATTTATTCATCAAGAATTAAATTTTATATTTATAAAATTTTCAGTTTTTCTGAATGTCTTAAGAGTTAACTTGAATTTCATTTCACGAAAAAGAGTTAACACGAAATTTATTTCACGAAAATTTTGTATAAAAATTTTTTTGTCACAATTTAATTTTCTCCTCCCGTGTTTGTCTTTGTCTTTCAGGCAGATACAAATTTGGTCGCTACATAACTTTAATCCTTTTTAAAGAAAAAAAAAACAACACAATCATTGATGTAACGTTAACAACAGGAATACAAAACAGTCAGAAGATGAAGATGAAAAAGAATACTACTACCACTACCACTACAACAACTACTGCTGCTTCTACTACTACTACTACTAATGCTACTACTACTGAAACTGCTACTACTACTACTACCACTACTACTACCGCTACTACTACTACTTGTACTAGTGCTACTACTACAACTACTGCTGCTACTACTACTACTACTATTACTGCTACGCTACTACTACTACTTGTACTAGTGCTACTACTACAACTACTGCTGCTACTACTACTACTACTATTACTGCTGCTACTGCTACTACTACTACTACTAATATTAATAATAATAACAATAATAATTTCCGTATTATGTTAACTATTATTTATTCTCATTGGTTGATACTAGTTTTTATTCTACTTTTACAACTTCTTATTATTATTTACATTCATATTAATGTTAATCGCCGCTGGTTTCGGCATTAAGGTAGAGATAGATTGATGGAAGGAGCGAAGCGTAGATGATAAATAATAAGATTTCGAGTAATGAAAAATAAGATGATGACGTCATCGTCGTCGTCGTCATCACCATCATCATCATCGTCGTCATCGTCATCTGAACATAAACAATCTTCATCATCATCATTAGCGTCGTCATCATAAGGAATATTTTTTACATGAATTCACAATGGCAACATCATCATCATCATTTTCTTCTTTTTCCTCTTCCTTCCACTTTTCGTCATCGTCTTCGTCGTCATCATCATCAACATCTTCTTCGTCATCAACAACAACACCAAAACCACCACCAACGACAACAACAATCAAACTAATACAAAGACAAGAAAACAATGAAACGTCATTAAAATTTTTCACAAGTGAAACAATATGGCCCCGTAAAATGACGTCATGTATAATTCATCCAATCACGATGCACGTACACGTAGCTAAGTCGCTACATCGTTAAAATCATTTTTGGAGTAAAATGAAAAAAATCCCGGGGTGTCATTTTATTGAGTAGTCTTAGTTTATATATATATATATATATATATATATATATATACATATATTTATATATATATATATATAAATATATATATATTTTTACAACAAGTCATTTTGAGAAATTTTTATTAAAAGCAATACATAAATTAATAATAATGATGATATGATGATGTTGAGGATGATTAAAATGATGATGGTGAAGAAGAAGAAGAGTAAGAAGAAGAAGAAGAGGAAAAAGAAAAAGAGGAGGAAGAAGAAAAAGAGGAGGAAGAAGAAAAAGAGGAGGAAGAAGAAAAAGAGGAGGAAGAAGAAAAAGACGACGATGATGATGGTATTGATGATGACAATACGAAGACGATGATGATTTGTAATAATAAGTTTCACATTTGCTGTAAATGATGTAGTTTCGCTATGAACGAATATGTCCTGAAAGTGGTTTTTTATAACTGTTCATGAATATTTTTTTTAAATAAAAATCAATAGATCAAAATAAAAATGAATACTAAATTGAAATAGCTAATGATATATCGGAAATTTTATTAAATCTCTACAATTTTTAGGCTTCGGATTTGAAATTTAGA